ATTATTACCAAACCAGAAAGCAATGGTTCAGTATTACTTCTTCTTCGAGCATTTTGTCTGGTGATGAGCCAGATTACAGAGCAAGAGGTACGTTATTCAAATTCCGATCAGTATTAATATCATCACTCATATCACCACTATCATCATGGAAGTTACTGTGACTAGAGCAACTGATAATACCAGCATTATTATGAATCATTGGTTGTGGCCATAATTGATCTTCACGTTCGTCCTCTGCATCTTCATCGGATAACGTAAAATTCTCATTGGTGTATATTCGAAGTCGTTGATTATTGGAATGTTTATCCAATGAAATCGATGTCATCAAATCATTTCGAGACGTAAACTGTCCTCGAGATGTCGGCTGGACAACACAGCCGTTCGTCTGAAATTGCTTCAGTTAGCTGTCACGAACTTCATTTGATGTTCAGTTGATAAACAATTTCATTGTTATTACTACCATCATTATCGTTATAATTAAGATGAGTTGGATTATTATCATCATTCACATAGCATCGTCACATATGCTGGATCAGTACCATGCCGCAAGAATACCTTATTGTTGAAGATGACTGCATGATCACGCCTTTGTTGACTTCTGCACATACTCTTCTCATCGAAGAATCGATACGACGCCAAAATGACGCGTATAACCCAGATTAAAATCAATGAGAAAGCGGCGACGAATAACGAGTACAAGAAAGCTCTTAAACGTGTATCTGGAATGAGATGATGTCTAATGTAAGTAGAATTCATTATCTTGCTAATAGAAAGTATTCTCGTTTTCGCAATTTTACGTTCAATTATTGTTTTTGTCCGGCAGATTGCTGCCTTTCAATATGAGCGTCCAGAAATTTGGTATTGCTATTAATCACTTTCTATAAAAACCAAGTCGTTCTGACAATAATTGGAAGACCAAAAAAACAGGTTGCATATCTAGTCAGAGATATGGATTATTGACTGAAAAATTTATGTGGTTGGTAACGAATAGTCATTCACACTGAGAATCCAGATTAAATGCAGTAAAAAGCAAAATAATATGAAACTTGAAAGGGATTCGTGCTCACCCACAGCGTTTGGTTCATCGCCATGTTGAAAATGAACGGCCCACGGGCTATCGATCCAAAAAATTGTCGTTGTGCATATAAAATAGAGTACCAATGAAACAATCAGCGTAAGTAACTGAAAATTTGGCGATTGTGAATAGAATGAACTTATGATCGATTCAGCGATACTTCGCAATTGAGAGGCGCAATTCCCATCCTTCACGTTATTCTCAAGTAATTTACCTCATAACAGTGACAGCAAAAGAATTTAGCGATCAAGAAACAGAACGCATTCTGGTATTAGTCAAAATAAGTTCATGCGCTATTTTACGCTTTTCAGAAAAGAACAATTCAAGTAATTACAATGCTAATGATAGCAATAATAATGATGAAAATGAGGATAAATATCCAAATAAATATTCGAGCAATGAGGATGAGAAACTGCAAATGATGAAACGAGGGTTCAATTTGAATTGCTGGATGAACGAGTGTTGTTTGCATAATGAATGAACCACCTGCATGAACAGATAAGGCAGTAAAAGTGGTCCGGATTCGCTCAAATAAGCAACAAGCAATAAAATGCCAAACAGTGCATCAAATGCCTCGGTGAATATCTCTAACCAGTCTGAAAAGATGCTTAGATTATAGAGCATTTTAGGTGCGCTTTATGAAATTTGCACGAAAGTGATTGAATCTGCATGAAAGTTTTGAACGCATAGTTTTTGAACGATTCAGCTGTAGGGTTATCACCGTCATCATCATTATATTGAAATTATCATTATATTGAAGTCATCATTATATTGAGTTACGCCACCTCACATTACCTGCAGTAACGTGTTTTTGTAACACAAAATTGGCCCATCTCAGCACATCCCACGAAAGTGTTCCAATTACTATCATCAGAAGTGCTTCCTGAAATTCTAAATTCTCGAAATTGTATCAAAAAATCAAGTGAATTGGACATTATTCTATCAAGCTCATTCATCACTGAATTTGATCTACGATAGAGAGCGATGTTTTCTAGAAATCAAAGAACATAATATAACCTCGGAGACGAGTATGAAGATCTAAGCAAGTGGATGTTCAACAGGGATACCAATATCAGATTAACTCACCTTAACATGGATACGACCACAGCAAGTGAAATATTGTGGCTTTGAGTGATTTCGTGTTGGTGGTAACTTTAGAAAAGAGCATAATAACATTGTCCAGATGAATACTCAAAATAATGAGCAGTAACAGGTCAGTAATTGGAATATTACGGAGATGATCCTTTTTCTCTTTTACAATGCGAAACCGATCTTTAAACTCGATTCAGATTCCCCGTTAATGCTCTATGTGTATAACCACGTATAGCCATAAATGGTTTCGATAAGGGATATTCGATGAAGAAGATNTGTATAACCACGTATAGCCATAAATGGTTTCGATAAAGGATATTCGATGAAGAAGATCTGTTTAAGTCGTTCGATCAGTGAGATGATCTTTGAATCGCAGTGACTAAACATTTCAAAATCATATTACAACTTATAATTTAAGCGATCAAGCTTTTAATGAAAATGCATTATAATAATAGTAATGTGACAATCCAATATTATCGTATTAGTGAGATCATTAAATTAATATCATTGTCATCAAAAATGGTCTTTTTTATCGCCACTGTTGATATCATCATTGTTAATAAAAACGTATCTTTAGAATCTGAATTTGAGTAATGTGACATTTGAGTAATCATCATACTAATTACATGTTGAGATGAAACTTCACAGCAAAAGCATTCATTCATCTCGTGTCAATCTCATCTCACCTCGCATTTTACCTAACTCAGAATGAGAACATGCCTCATAAGCAATACATTTTAGTTAGCAACAGAAAAATATGAAATTGGTTCCTATAAATAAGCAAATGATTGGTTCATAACCCGTTCAGCTA